AACAACTTGGCTGGTCCCCCTCCCCAATTCCCCAATTAAAAAAAGGACAAATTAGCAGTTGCAAAATAGTCATGAGGATGTAAAGTACAGCATAGGGAATATAGTCAATAATATTGTAAAGTATGTATGGTGTCAGACAAGTACTGTATTTACTAGGGTGATCACTTCGTAAGTTATATAAATATCTAATCACTATGATGTACACTGGAAACTACTGTAATATTGTATGTTAACTGTAATTTTAAAAATTACTGATAAAAGTAAAAACAATGCACCAAAAATAGGACAATTGACAGGTGTAGAGAGGAATGGATGGGTACGTGACAAGTCAAGTGTAATAAAATGTTAACAAATCAATGTTGCTGTATGTTAGAAAATTTTCATAATAAAATGTTGGAAGGAAAGTAGTGACTCCCCTGGTTCTCTGCCCTCCCTCCCAAATAAGTAAGCCTTCTGTGGCTGTTTCCTACAGAACACCTCCAGGTACCCCCCAGCACCTGCCTCAGACCCGCGGGTGCAATATTCAACCTCTCCGAGCCACGCGTCTCTGAATCATAGGGAACTGAGACAGCCCCTCCTGGGGTCGGGGAGAGGCCAGAATGAGAAGGTCAGTGCTCAGCATCACACCCGCACACAGTAGGTGCTCAGGAAATGCTATCTCCAATCCGTAGAGCTTTAAGGCCCCTTCAGTGACGCCCAGGTTCTGGGCACACCTGGTCAACCAGCGTTCCCTGGGGGTTGTCAGAGGGGCCACTAACGAGAGCGCTCTTTTTGTTTGTGCCGGGGCCTCGCAGTCAGACCCTTCGGTCACTTCTTCTCTGGTCCAGGAAATAGTTTCTGTGAGCCAGGACTCGTGCAGGGTGCCAGGAGCCCAAGCATTCAATCGAACAAGTCCTTGCCTTTAAGGAACCCCCTCCAGAGACAGACAGAGTTCCACCGAAGTGGAACAAATGCCCCGAGGGAACCAAGCCCAGGACCCAGAGCAGCAGAGCCTGACAGTGCCAGCCTGGTTAGAAAGACGGGCCCAGCCTTGGAATGGTGATTCCCCATCAGCCAGAGGAACCCGGGCCACACACAGCACAGGAGGGACCCTGGGTTCCTGAACCCCGGGCCCCTCCCTGGCTCAGCAGCTCTGTCATGCTGGGGCTCAGCTCCCGGCAGATGAACGTAGGATTCGGTGAGGCCGAAAAGGAACAGCAACGGAGCCACAGATAGGGGGTTCATACCACTAGATTACATTCTCCATGACGGCTGCTTGAGACACCGAGAAGCAAACATCCGTCAATACCCCAACAAGGGGTCTTCCTGCACCACAGTCTCGCTGGTGGCCGGGGGAGACACAGAAAGTAGGATTGCAGGATCTGCACCATTTGTGACACCCGCGCTTGCTAACGCAGCCCCGCAGTTACATGCAAAACAACAGTAGCTAACGGCCAACTGGTGACAGCTGATGGCCGTCTAATAACCGAGCCAGCACCTTTCCACAGGAGGCCGAGAGCCTGGAAACTGCCCTCCTGGCCCTTTCCCGACAGGCCCCTTGTCCCTCGTCAGCCAGCTAGCGTGGGCCCCTGGCACTATGACAGCAGGAGCCCCGTGGAGGGTCTGCAGCAGCCACAGCATTTGCTCAGGGGAGAGCAAGGCCAGCAGGGTCCTTCTCCCCGAGGGCCCGGCTGCGGCCAGCGTTCAGACAGCCTCTCCTCGGCGGGGCCCACCTTGTTCAGGACCCCATTCACCACTCCCCAAGTCAGCCACCCAGACAGCTAGGTTCTCCTTGAGCAAGGCCTGGGCCCGGAGTCATGCCCAGGGGCTCAGTCCAGCTTCACAACTGCCCCCAGAGGCAGGCTCCACGTGCAGGTGTGGAAACCGAAGTTTGGGGACGTTCAATAACTCGCCCGAAGTCACACAGGAGCCAGCCCTAGCCACGACCTCTCCTCAAACCAGGTCAACAACAATTATGGCAGCTGACATTCTGAGCCATTGCACACATATCATCTCACTGAAGCCCCACACTGACGTGGGGAAGGAAGAATTATTGCGTCCATCCCGCAGAGATTCAATAATGCCTGGAGCAGCTCAATGGGTAGATGGCAGAGCCAACGTATAACAACAACACGGTAATAAAAACCCTAATGGCAGCTATATTCTTCTCCTACTGCTGCTGTAACCACCACCACACACTTAGTGACTTAAAATCAGTGAATAAGTGTATTCACTTACAGTTCTGGAGGCCAGAAGTTTAAAATCAAGGTGTCGGCAGGGCTGCGCTCCTCCCGGGGGGCTCCACGTGACAATCTGTCCCTTGCGTTTTCCAGCTTCCGGAAGCCGCCTGCATGGTGTGGCTTCTGGTACCTTCCTGCACCTTCAAAGCGTGTTACTCCAACCTCTGCTTCCATCTTCTTATCCTCTCCTTTGATTCTCCTCGCTCCTCGCAGAAGGCCCCCTGTGATCACATCACTGGGCCCACCTGGAAAATTGAGGCGTCTGTCCTTACCACGTCTGCCAACGCCCCTTTGACCATGTAAACTAACATATTTGCAGGTTCGGGGAATTAGGACATGGACCTCTTTGGGGGCCCATTACTCAGCCTCAATGATACTGATTGAGGTCTGACTATGCGCGTGGTCCTGTGCTTAGCGTTTTACATGTATTATTCTAGAGCAGGACACCTCACACTGCAATGCGCACACAGGTCCCCAGGGGATCTTGTTAAAGTGCAGATTCTGGTTCAGGAGGTCCGGATTTCTAACACGCATCCAGGTGATACTGATGCTATTGGTCCCAAGACCACACTATGAGCATCAAGAATCTAGAAGAGGGGCCGACAATCTTTTTCTGTGAAGGACCTGACAGGTAACCATTTTCAGCTTTGCAGGCCTTATAATCTCTGTTGCGACTACTCCACTCTGCCATTATGGCCCCAAAGCAACCATCGCCGTTATGAGAAGGAATGGGCGTGGCTGTGTGCCAATAAAACTTTAGTTATGGACACTGACATTGGGCTTCCATATAGTGTTAGGGAACATGATTCTTCTTTTGATTCTTTCCAACCATTTGAAAATGCAAAAGCTATTCTGACTTTACAGTCCATGCAAACACAGACACTGGGCAAGATTTGGCCCGTGGGCTGTAGTTTGCAGACCCCTGACCTGGGATGTTAGTTCCAGGAGAGCATGTATTTCTTATTTTTTTCACTGTAGTATCCTTTACACCTGGCACCTTGTAGCCGCTCAAAAAATATGTGTTGAATGAAAGAGCAAATTTAATTTTCATAACTACTTCCCCTAGGCAGTATAGTTATGAACCCTGTTTTGCAGATAAGGAGCTAACAGGAGCAATTTCTCTGGATTTACTGAGAAAAAAGGGCATAGAGATGGTGTGCCTGGGGCTGTGCAACTGGCCCCCTGGAAGACCCAAGATCATGCTGACTCCATCTGTCGCCCCCCCCCAACAGCCTGGGGCCCCTTCCCTTGCAGCCAGCACCACAGAGCCGCCTGCTTCTCCGGCTCCCCAGAATACTAGGCCCGGGCCCCTCACACAGCCACACCTTGAGCCAGGCCTGGGAGAGCTCTCACAGGGCAAGAGAGGCAGCAGAAAACTTTTCCTTTGTTGGTTGGCAACAGCACACACCCCAGCACTTCCGGCCTGGGCAACCAGGCCCCAGTTCCACCAGGTCAGAGCCTGGCAAACACATTTCCTTTTGGGGCCAGTCTGGTAACAGAAACATGTGAAATGGGTGGGGTTGAAACCACAGGCACCGAATTGCTGCTACTGCCACAATCAGTGACACTTACCCAGCTCTGTGGATTTTTTAAAGCCCTCTGTGGCCAGGACAACACATCAGAGAGACTCACGTGGCTTGAAAGTTGCCGGGTATGTCTCGCCTCGATTTTACAGGGAACATCTCCCACCCCAAGAACTTTGCCCATGCTCTTCTCTCAGCCTGGAACGCTCCTCCCACCCCATCAGTTAACGCCTTAGGTTTCAGGGTCCCAGAGAACCCTTCCCCAGCACAGGTACCCTGTCTGCACCTCTCTTGTCACACCAGCAATTTCACATTTGCTTGTGTGATGAATTGATCGATGTCTATTCTTTATTAGTTTCCTGTGGCTCCTGTAACAAGTTACACAATCTTGGTGGCCTAAAACAACAGGAATTTATTCTCTCACAGTTCTGGAAGCCAGATCTAAGATCAAGGTGTCAGCAGGGCTGGCTCCTCCTGGAAGCTCTAGAGGAAACTCCTTGCCGTGACTCCCTCCCAGGTTCTGGGGGCTGCCAGCCATCCTGGGCACCCCTCAGCTTGCAGACACATCACTGCCATCTCTACCTTTGGATTTGGGGCCCACTCTAAATCCAGGATGGCCTCACCCAGATTCCTTAACTTTATAACATCTGCAAAGACGCTAATTCCAAATAAGTTCACGGTCATGGCTACCTGGGGTTAGGACATGGGCATATATATATATATTTTTTTTTGGGGGGGGAGCATTGTTCAACCCACTACAATCCTCTTAGACTTTAAACTCCATGAGGGCAGAGACTATATCAACCTTTTATCACCAGTGTATCCTGGTACCTGTCACACAGCCTCACACACACACACCCCCTCAATGCTTAGTAAGTATGTGTCAAAGACAGGACTAGCTATGTAATTGTGGGGACCAGTGAAAAATGAAAAGGCAGAGCCCCTAGTTCAAAAATTAAGAATTTCAAGATGGCAACAGCACAGCATTCAACGCAACACTGACCTTAGAGGCTGCACACCCGTGAAGCTGGACCTAGCTGACTGAATGATGAATGTGGAAAACTGTTTACCTCGAGAGACCCTGGGAAATGACTGAACTCTTCTTCAGCCCATGCTCCAGGCACAGAACCGGAAGTTCTGTCCATTTTACAGATGGGGAACCAAGGCCTGAGAAGTCAAGGATGCGCGAAATCAGACAGGGCTCAGCTGGGACCCACGTCTCCTGCGCCCGTCTCCCACCTGGCCTGTTCGTCGAACCTTCGGCAGGAGCAGCCCTCCCACCTCCCCTCCAGTGCTGCCCCTCTAGCAAGCAGTGGGGCCACTGGAGGACCCGAAGAAAAACCACTGTGGGAACTCTGCCCACAGTTTAAACAAATCACAGGCTTGGCCCGAGCATCTGTGTCCATCAGAGTGACACTTGCTGGGCGCTGACCCTGGAGCTGGCCGGAGCAGCCTGTGACAGCCGGTCCTCTTTAATCTTCACAGCCGCCCTGTGAGGAAGTGCTGCCTGATCCCCCTCTTATACACGCGAGGCTCAAGTTCAACTTAGTTCAAGTGCGCGGAGTGACTGCCATCTGACTCTGAGATCTGAGGTCCCTGCCTTTCAGCGCTTAGCCTCTAAACAATAACACCAGCACCTGTGCTGTAGCCTACACAGCCCTGCAAGGAGGGTACTGTCATGATTTCCATCTTTTAGACAAGGAGACTGAAGCACAGAGCAGTGGCTTGCCCAAGGTCACAGGGCCCATAAGAGGTCGATTCGGAATTCAAACCCAAGCAATGAGCTTTCCTGGGTCCTTGCTGCTGCGATGTCGCTCGAGGGCCTCAGGTGGGATCACAAGCAGAGTCTGGGCCAGGGAGATGTTCAAGGGAAGGGCTACCCCCATCCACAGGAGACCCTGGTCCAGCAGGTGTGGAGAGGTCCAGCAGTCAGCATTTCCCCAAAGACGAGTCCAGCGCTGCAGGGAAGGTACAGACGAGGAAGCTGCCAGGCCCCTCGGAAGCAGCTGGCTCAGGACAGTGCTCTACATGCCTGAGGCCTCCCCGCCCCCCCTCCTGGGGCCTCAGCTTGTAAATTGGTGACAACTGAGCACACCCTTACAGGTGTGTTACGAGGCCTGGATTGTTTATAAAGTGTCAGGGACAAATTGGCACACGATAAAGGCTTAAGAAATTGCCTATGGGTATACAGGGTTATCCACACACAGCCTGTCCTCCCTGCTCCCAAGGAGAAAAAACCAGTTCCAGCCCTAGCAAGGGGGACCAACCCTTCTGGCTTGCTCAGAACCAGAGGGTTCCCGGGATGCAGGGCTTTTAGTGCTAAAACAGGACAGTCCCCAGGGACATGTTGTCATCCTAGCCCTAGCTGCCCAAAGCCACTGTCTACGCAGAGCCACCTCTGGGCTTTTGGTCCGTTGTGAGCTTGGAGCAACTGGCAAGGGCTCAGCGGGGGGTAATGACTACAATGCTTGCCACTGCTGTCGCCAGGGAGATAAGACGCTGCCTTCTCTTTGAAGTGGCCCCAGCTGCAAACATAAAGTGGCCTTTTCTGCTAAAATCTTTCATCAGCTGAGAATTTCTTCTCCTCCTGGAAGGGGGCCAGTTTCCCATTTGAAGTCCTTGGGGGTGGCACAAGAACTGTGTGCACTCAGGAAGGTCCTGTGTTAGAATCCTAGGGTCACTGTAACAAAGCATCACCAACTGGGTGGCTTAAAAACAATAGGAATTTCTTCTGTTACAGTCTGGAGGCTGGAAGTTCAAAATCAAGGTGTCAGCAGGACTGTGCTCCCTGGAAGGCTCCAGGGGTGAATCCTTCCTGCCTCTTCCCGCTTCTGGTGTTTCCCACAATCCCTGGGTTCCTTGGCTTGTGGCAGCAACCCTCCAATCTCTGCCTCTTACATCCAACGGCACGTCTCTCCCTGGGTGGATCTATGTACAAATCTTCCTCTGCTTCTAAGGGAACCAGTCATAGCAGTGAGCGCCCACACTAATCCAGCATGATCTCATCTTAGCTTGGTTAAATCTGCAAACAAGACCCTATTTCCAAATAAGGTCACATTCACAGGTTCTGGGTGGATACGAATATTTTTTTGGTGTGTGGGGGGGCCTATTCAACTCAGATCCCCCCCCCAAGCGGGGGATCCCCCTGCACCATGCCTAGAAGGTGGGCAGGAGCAGGACCCCAAGTGCTGCCCTCAGCCGCTCACCACCTGTCCACCACCTTGGCCTGTGCTGGGGTGACGGTGGCTGAACGTAGGCAGGAGGAAGAAAAGCCACTGGTCAAAACATGCTAGTGGTCACGGCAGGAGCTGGCGGTCAGGGACGGTGCAGCGACACTTGGTAACAGTGTGACCAGCCTCCTTTCCTCCTCTTCCTGGCTTGTTCTTGGAAGACTCGCCCCTCTCCCACGGGTGGTTCACAAGATTCGGGTAGAGGTGACACCATCCCTCACTCGGGACGGTCTGGTCAATCAAAGCAGCGCCTCCTACTTGACATGGGAATCGGTTCAGGACTGGACAGACGACCCGATCAGTGCCAACAAGACTCGACCTGGGCTCCTGCAGCAGCTTACCCTTGGGATGCTGAGAACGTGGACGGCCATCCTGCCACTACGAGGGAACCTGCGTTGGAATGAAACCACCACAGAGAAAACTAGGTTCGAGAGGCACAGAGAGGGATTCCTGATGCCATCCAGGAGCACCTCGATCCAGCTGTTTCTGAAG